AGTCCCTTTTAGACCATTTATATATTATATTTAAGTACGGGCATGAGGCTACAGGCTTTTGAAGCCTTCGCTCCAGGGACAGAATTTTCCCTAAGTGAGATACGAGGACTGTGGATGAGGACAGGCTCGCTGCAGTTCTCGTCTCTGGTGAGTGGACACGGAATGATGGTAATAATATGTGGGATATAGTGGAATATTCGGACAATACCCTCCTCATTTCATGTGACATTTCAATGTCAAGGGTGAGAACGGTGGTGAACAGGTGTTCTGCTGTACCATGGTGGTCACGGGAAATAGTGGTCCTACGGGGAGCGGCTACGGCGGCGAGAAGGTGTTATCTTAGGGCCCGGCGAAGAGGTGATCTGGACAGAATTAAAGCATGTCTAGAGGACAGGAGGGAGAAGAGAAGGAATCTGGTCCGGGCCATCAGAAGGGCCAAGGCCTTGGCCTTGAAGGTCTTTTTAGCAACCATAGAGGATGATCTATGGGGGAAACCCTATAAACTTGTAATGGGGAAATTGAGGGCTCGAGGTGTTTCCCCCCTGACTGAGGTACTGGATCCTCCTCTTTTAATGAGGATAGTTGAAGCGCTGTTTCCGGGGGGTGGGCGATCAGTGGCCTTAAACGTCAACGTGGTGGGCCCGGAGGAAATAGTTGTTACGGTTGAAGAGGTTTATAAGGCCGCTAAAAGGATTAACCTTGGGAGGGCACCGGGTCTTGACGGGATCCCTGGACTGGTGGTAAAGAGGGCGGCCATATACTGTTGTCAAGGCCTTGCGGAATGCTTTACCATGCTGCTGAGGAGGGGAGTTTTCTCACGGGCATGAAAGAGGGCCAAGCTCGTGTTGCTGAAGAAAAAGAAAGATGGTGATGGTAACTTGCCCAGCTCATACAGGTGAATATGCCTACTGGACGAGGTAAAGAAGCTATTTGAAAGAGTTGTTGTCTCCAGGGTAAGCGAGTTTTTAAATACTCAAAGTGTTCTTTCGACGTGTCAGCATGGTTTCAGGGTGAGTTACTCTACCCTTGAAGCCATCGGAGAAGTAAAAAATTACATACAGAAGTGCGCGAGTAGTGGACGAGTGGGCGTATTAATCTCACTGGATATTTGTAACGCGTTTAACTCGCTCCCCTGGGATATAGTGATAGCATCGATGGAGGGAAGTGGATTCCCCACCTATTTGATTAATATTATGAAAGATTATTTCCGTGACCGTCTCTTGTCCTTTATAGGAAAGCAGGGCATAATTAATAATGTAAGCRTGATGTKTGGGKTCCCACAGGGTTCCGTCCTCGGCCCCACACTTTGGAACATTGCGTACGATCAGGTCCTCAGAGTCCCGCTGCCGGGAGGGTCTCGTGTGGTCTGCTATGCAGATGACACGGCCCTCCTTTCAACTGTCTTGCGCATTGTTAGCGGCTGAACAATACCTAGAGGTCACTGTGAATGAGATTGAGGGATTAGGCCTGAAAGTGGCGCTACCGAAAAAAGAGGCAATGGCCTTCCCTGCTTCTGCCTTATGCAGACGCAGGATTGCTCCCCCCCTCCTGTGATTAGATACAGGGTGGTTTGTATTGCAGTGAAGCCTAGTGTGAAATACCTGGGCATTGTTTTAGACTCAAATATGTCATTTAGGCCGCACTTCCAGGCCTTAATCCCGAGAGTGAAAGGGATCCTTCGGTCTATTGGGAGGATCCTTCCGAACCTCYACGGGCMGARGGAGAAGAAGCGGCGWSTYTACAGCAGCGTGATCCACTCCGTGCTCCTCTATGGTGCTCCGGTGTGGTTGCGCGCTGTTGTGGAGGATCAGAGGATCAGACGGGCTGTTCAGGCCTTGCAAAGAAGGGTGGCAATCAGGGTGTTTTGCGCATATAGGACGGTTTCCTTCCATTCGGCAATGATGGTCGCGGGGATTAATTACCTCGATCATCTGGCGCCGCGACAGGCGGAGGTGTATGTGACCCTTAAGAATGCGGAGGGACCTGTCCCTCCAAATATTAGGGCGGTGCTGGGCGCTTTCGCCAGGATGGGGGCAATTGCTGCATGGAGGGAAGAAGAATTGGGACTAATTGGGGTAACGGGGGAAACGGGGGCGCAGGTTAGGGCAGCTATTGCTGACAGGTTGGATGAGTAAGTTGGGAGGCCGTACTCTATAGGTACGACCTTCCACACAACTCAGCTGATGACTAGCCATGGCTGCTTTCCTGCGTACCTACATAATATTAGGAGAACAGACTACCCGCGGTGCTATCACTGCGGCGCGGATAGAGACGACGCGGAACACACCCTGATTGAATGCCCGGCGTGGACGAATGCTAGGGATTCCTTGGTCAGGGAGTAAGGGGGGGGTGTGCAGCTAACCCTCCCCAGGATAGTCAGGCAGTCCCTGGATACCCCGGGGGCGTGGGCTGCATACCAGTCCTTTTCAGGACTTTTAATGAAGGCCAAGAAAGATGCTGAAAGGGAGAGAGAACGTGCATTTTTCAATAGGAGAAGAATGAATGCGAGACCGCAAAAGAGAATAGCTCCTAGGCGGCCACCACGGGCGAGGTTTCAGGCAGCCTTGGCGGCGCCTGACCTGGTCTAGTGCGTCGCTTCTCCTAAGAAGAATGAACATGCGGATGCATGGGATGTGTGAACTCGACTAGTGCATCCTTGGATGGATGGTCGGGTGTGTACATATATATATGTAGAATAAGGTGTAGTAATTAGTTAGTTACTTAGTTTCTTTGTTAATTAGTTTTTTCGTAAGGTATGAGTGTTGTGTATGACTGAGGATGAGAGCATGGCGAACCGACCAGGCTCATCGAGATAAGAGAGTAAGTGTTAATGTATTGTGTTTGTATCACAGATCTGCTTCTCCTCTCCAGCGAGTGAATGTTTTGCACCAGGTAGGTTTTTAGTCGGTAAGAATCCGATACTTCTTTGGGTACCGGGCCCAAGGGGCCTTTTGAAGGTTTTCCCCCAAACGAAAAAAAAAAAAAAAAAAAAAAAGGGTGGGAACGTCGGGGTTGCTTTAGGGATGCGTGAGGGTTGGAACGTCAGGGTTGCTTTAGCGATTCGTCAGGGTTGGAACGTCAGGTTTGCTTTGCGAATGCGTCAGAGTTGGAACGTCGTGGTTGCATTAGGGATGCTTTAGGGTAGCTCCGTCAAGGTTGCAGTGGGGATGCGTCAGGTTTGGAACGTCGCAGCTTCTTTGGGGATGCGTTATGGTGGGAACGTCGGTTTTGCTTTGGAGATGCGTCGGTGTTTAAATTTCGGAGTTCCATTAGGGATTCGTCAGGGTTGGAACGTCAGGTTTGCTTTGGGAATGCGTCAGGGTTTGAACGTCGGGGTTGCTTTGGGGATGCGTCAGGGCTGGAACGTCGAGATTGCTTTAGGGATGCGTCAGGGTAGAAACGTAAGATTTGCTTTAAGTATGCGTCAGGGTAAGAACGTCAGGGTTGCTTTGGGGATTCGTCAGGGTTTGAACGTCAAGATTGCTTTGAGCATGCGTCAGGGTTGGAACGTCGGTGTTGCTTTAGGGATGCATTAGAGTCCCCCCCGTGGGTAGGGGTAGTAGAATACTCTCACAGTATTCCTTGCTTGTCTTAAGAGGCTACTAAAAGGGAGGGTATGAATGGTGTGTGCATGTTCTGTGTGGCTATTTCTCTCGGTAATTCTTTCTATCCTCTCTTTTTCTCTTCTTTTCTTGTCTCTTACTTCCTTCGTTTTTTCTTTCTTTTCCTCTGGGCTTGTGCCTATTTATATCAAATAAAAAAATATGAAAGGTACAACCTCAGAGAATAAACCGTGTGGGAGGGAAACCCTCACGACGGCGGTGTTGGGTGAGGGTGAGACAGGCCACCCATCGTCGACATCATGCAACTGTCAGGAGTCTGTAGTAGGCAACCCGGCCCAGACTCTGGTTAATGCTCGGGAAGTTGTTCGCAGGTATGTGACCTGGCCCGCGAACTGACCAAGGCTCCAGGAAGAGATGCACGGAGGGAGGGATAGCAGAGGGAGGCTAAATTATCTGGAGGAGTTGCGGCTGTCGGATTCGGACTCGCCGATCAAGACCAGGGGAAGCAAGAGGATAAGGCGCATCATCACGTCGTCGGACGCACCAGGGGGGAATAATGGAAGCCAGTTAATACTAACGCTGGAGGCAGGAAGGCTCCCGGACATCCTTAGGTTGAGCCTAAGGAGGATGGAGATGAAGAGAGCGCGATGCTCTAATATGAAAGGATAGGTGTCGGGCAAGATGAAGCGCCTCATCAAGGATGCGTTCATCATTTCCGATGAAATTGAGAAGCGACTGGACAGGCAGTCTGGCTCCCTGCTCTCAAGAACTGAAGCGGTAATTCAGCTGAGAACGAAGGCTAAAATGAGGGATAAGAATATCCGTCGAAAAGATGAAGAGATCGCTAGGCTTAAGAAGGAGCTCAGGAAGCGGGAGTCTTAAAAACAAAGCCAGGGGGTAAAGGCGGTTGCTGTCCCAAGCCAAGGGAAACAGGTGGTGCCTACAGCAAACAGGGCAACCCCAGCTTTGGAGAAGAGGCTGGAGGATGCAAGGGAGGGGAATGTGATAGCCATGTTGAGAGAAGTCAACAAGAGCATTGAGACGTTACAACGTAACCAAGTAGAGCTGTGGAACGCCTTCACTGGCACCAATTGATCATCCCAGCGGTGGACAAGCTTGACCGAGGGGACTGGGGTTGGAGGAAGGAAGAGTGCTCCTACCCCAGGGACTTCGAGGGCTCCTGCCCCAGGAGTGCCTACCGCGGGTGTTGTTGCCCCTTCACAAGATGGGTTCATCGAGGTGGTGGGGAGGAAGAAGCGCCGCCAGCTGACGGAGAGGACCGTTACTACGAGGGAACCTTCAAGAAAGGTAGAAAAAAACACCAAGAGAAGTGCCACAGGAAGTGGCACTAAGAATAAAAAGAAGAAGTACAAGAGGAATAACCGCGGCGGCGGAACTAGGGAGACTGCAGCGGTCTCACTGGTATGCAAAGAGCCAATGTCGTACCGCGATGCTCTTGCTAAGGCCAGGGAGAACATTAGCCTCAAGGAGATTGGGGTAGAGAGTATGACGATGAGAAGGGGTGTGACGGGGGCCTTCATCTTCAGTGTCAGAGGGAAAGAGGCCGCTGTGAAGGCAGACTGGGTAGCCGAAGCTCTGATGAGGACGGTATCAGAGGCCAAGATCGCTCGGCCACAGAGAATGAGATCCTTCAGGCTGATGGGAATCGACCCAAGCCTAAATTTTACTGTTGTGAGGAACGCTCTCCTCACAATAAAGGGGAACTCTGACCCCAATAGAATCTGGGTTGGTGAAATAAGGATGGGTAGGGGACGTCTCTGGGAGACGGTTGTCTCTGCTCCGGTGGAAATGGCACAGGCTGTCATCAAGAAAGGRAAGATAGACTTCGGACTATACCGGGCAAGAGTGGTCGAGCTCCGGCAAAGACCATTGCGTTGCCACCGGTGCCTGGCTAGGGGTCATGTTGCTGCGAGCTGCCAAAACTCGACCTCTAGGGCAAGCCTTTGCTATCAATGTGGCCAACCGGGCTACAACGCGAAGGACTGCAAAAACAAGGTGGTGTGTCCGGTGTGCAGGGACGCCGGGCGCAGGAACAAGAACCATCGTGCGGGGACCAGGGAGTGTCCGGTGGTCCTTCCGCGAAGGACAAATAACGAAACGTGCGCGACCGCGAGTGCTAGTGAGGCTCGGGTGCCTGGTGCTTCGGCGGGGGGGATGAATAGGGGAGAGGATATGGGGATGGACGTGGACCTTTTTACCCCCACAAGAGACGAAAGTGGAGCAGTAGCGCAGGACAAGTACTGCCGTACGAACATGTGTGCGAAGCCTGCAGCAGGAGCGGGGATTAGTTGTGTGACCATTAACAATGTCGCCCAGTGAACAATGTGTGCAGGTGAACCTGAACCATGCACGGGGTGCGCAGTATCTACTGATCCAGCGTATGCGCGTGTGTGGGGCGGGGATTGCGGTTATATCAGAGTCGTGGTGGGTGCCTCCCGGGGATGTGAAATGGTTCTCGTCCCTGAGGGGGGCTCCGCTATCTGCGGTACTGGTAGGTGAAAGCGAAAGACCCTGCAGTCTGGTGCTCAGGGGTAACTTCTTTGTAGCCGTTAAGTAAGGGGACTCGCTGGTGATTTCTGTCTACTTTCCACCCAGCGAGGTTATTGTTGAATTTTGTAGACACCTGGACGAGCTCGAGCTTGAGCCGGCATGACAAGACTTTCCTATGGTGGAATGCGCGGGCTGCGGACGAGGACATGCTCGCTGCGGCTCTCATATCAAGCGACTGGACGCGTCCTGGTGGTGTGTGTAGTGCGCGAGTGTATGTTAAGTGGCTTCGCGGAATGTTGGTGCGCGTGTGCGACATGGCACTGCTTGGGGCGGGGAACACTAAGAACAAAACGAGGAAGGCGTGCTGGTGGTCGCTRGAACTGTCTGCTCTTAGGGCGGAAGCGACTGCGGCTAGAAGGCGATTTCTGAAGGCCAGACGCAGCGGGGACCAAAGAAGAATAGAACTGTGTCTGGAGGCCCGTAGGAAGACTAAAAAACTTTTGAAGAGGGCCATTAAGAAGGCCAAAGCCACTGCCTGGAAAGACTTCATAGGGACACGGGAGGCAGACCCGTGGGGCAAACCATATCGCCTGGTCATGGGAAAGCTAAGGCCATACTCTGCACCCTGACGGAGGTGCTTGAACCGGACGTTTTGGACCAGGTGATGGGGGGCCTTTTTACCCAAGTGGAGCAGATCAATGCTCAGAACGTGCGCAGGGTGCAGGTTGATGGTGCAGCGGTAGCGCCGGAAGAGGTGCTAGCTGCGGCGAAAAGGATAACCGGTGGGAAGGCTCCGGGACCGGATGGGGTCCCGGTCATAGTGATAAGAGCAGTGGCAGTACACTGCGGGGTCGGTCTCGCGTAACTTTTCACAGAGTGTTTTAGGACCAGCAACTTTCCAACAGCCTGGAAGAGGGCTAGGCTGGTCCTGATAAAGAAGAAGCAGGACGCCCAACCCGACYTGCCTGGCTCCTACAGACCGATCTGCCTGCTGGATGAGATTGGAAAGCTTCTAGAAAGGATAATAGTGTCAAGGATTGGTGAGTGCCTGGAGTCAAAGGGTCTGCTTTCACAGGCGCAGCATGGCTTTCGCGTTGAACGCTCAACGGTAGGTGCCATTATGGTGGTGAAAAATATTGTGCGGGAGTGCGTGGACAGTGAGCGCGTCGGGATCCTGACCTCGCTGGACATCAGCAATGCGTTTAATTCGCTACCGTGGGAGACCATCTTCAGGGCGCTGGATGGAATGGGCCTTCCCACGTATATCGCGAACATTGTTAGGAGCTATCTATCAAACCGATCGTTGATGTTTGTCGGGAGGCGAGGACGATTTGAGGAAAGACGGGTGTCGTGCGGGGTCCCGCAGGGTTCGGTGCTCGGACCAACCCTGTGGAATATCGCCTATGACAGTGTCCTCCGGGTTCCGATGCCGGGGGGTTCCTGGGTCGTCTTTTATGCAGACGATACGGCCCTCCTGTCACTGGGGCGGGACTTGTCAGAGGCGATCGCGAACGCGGAACGGAATCTCGATGTAATCGTGGGTGCGATCGAGGAGCTTGGTCTCAAGGTGGCGCCACATAAGACAGAGACAATGGCCTTCCCTGCCTCTGCCCTCCGCAGACGCAGGAATGTTCCGGCCCCTGCTATTAGGGTTAGGAAGTCTCTGGTTTTCATAGGTCCCAGAGTTAAGTACCTGGACGTGGTGTTAGACTCGGATCTTACGTTCGGGCCTCACTTTGCGGCCTTGATTCCTAAGGCAGAGGGGATCCTCCGGTGTCTTGGAAGGCTCTTTCCGAACCTTCACGGACCGGGGGAGAAGAAGAGGCGCCTCTACGGCAGCGTGATCCAATCAGTGCTTCTTTATGGGGCGCCGGCGTGGTGGCGCGCTGCCGCGGAGGACATGCGTGTCAAGCAAGCCATTCGATCGTTCCAGAGGAGGGTGGCGATCAGGGTGTGTTGCGCCTATAAAACGGTGTCGTTCCATGCGGTAATGATGGTTGCGGGAATCATTCCATTCGATCATCTTGCTCCCCGACTGGCGGAAGTGTATGCGACCCTTAGTGACGCGGAGGGACCTGTCCCTCCGAGCATTGAGGTGGCGCTGGGCGCTGAAACCAGGAGGATGGCGATTGCTGCATGAAATCAAGAGGAGATTAGCCTATAAGGGGTAACGGGTGAAACGGGGGCGCAGGTGAGGGCGGCTATTGCTGGCAGGTTGGATGAGTGGGTTGAGAGGCCGTACTCTATAGGTACGACCTTTCACACCACTCAGCTGATGACTGGACATTGCTGCTTCCCTGCGTACCTTTTTAGAATAGGGAAAGCGGCGTCTCCGCAGTGCTTTCACTGCGGAGCAAATGTAGATGATGCGGATCACACTCTAGTTGACTGCCCTGCGTGGGTGAATGAGCAGGACGGTCTTGTCAGGGAATTGGGGGTGGTGCGGGTCTCCCTTTCCGGCATACTCAGGGCATCCCTGGATATGCCAGGGGGGGTGGACTGCATTCCAGTCCTTCGCGGGATGCGTGATGCGCGAAAAGGAGAATGCGGAGAGAGAGAGAGAATGGATGAATGGGAGAAGGTTGCGTGCGGGGCCGCAGAGGAATCTCGCTCCTAGGCGGCCCCCTCGGGCGAGGCTTCGCGTAACTTGGGCGGCGAATGTCTGATGGCTGTGCGTCGCTTCCCCCTTATGGAGTGCCGTCATGGTATGAGAGTGGAGTGAGCCAGACCAGAACACCGTTCAATGTAGGGTCAGGCCAGGAGTGAGTGAGTAGCCTGCGTCTCCAGTGGGGTCCATGCTCAACTGTTGAGTGCGCCTAGGTGTGTGAGTTAGCGCCTCCGGGGAGGAAACATTCCTGTTGAGAGCGCTGGATGCAGGAGTAATGAGAGTGTGTGCGTGTGTGGGAGAAAGCGTGGCGAACTTCTGGCCGGGCTTGTTAGGGGAGAAGCACAAAGGCAATCTGAATTGTACTAGTCGTGCGTTGCGCCTGCCTCCTCCCCTTGCGGGTGAGTGTTGAACCAGGTTGGTTTTTAGTCGGTAAGAATCCGACACTCTCTTGGGTACCGGGCCCAAGGGTCCTATTGAAGGTTTTCCCCCTTACGAAAAAAAAAAAAAAAAAAAAAAGGGTTGCGTCAGGGTTGCGTCAGGGTTGCGTCAGGGTGGCGTCAGGGTTAGAACGTCTTGGTGGCTTTAGGGATGCGTATGGGTTGGAACGTCTGGGTTACTTTAGCGATGCGTCAGAGTTGAAACGTCGGGGTTGCATTGGGAATGCGCCAGGTTTGGAACGTCGAGTTTGCTTTAGGGTTAGAACGTCGTAGTTGCGCTAGGGATGCGTCAGGGTTAGAACATCAGGGTTGCTTTAGGAATGCGTCAGGGTGTCATGTGGTACGCTATCGTAATTAGTATCGTTTCTGCTTCTCGCGCGGTTAGTTATCGTTCGATTCTTCGTGAAAAAATATTTTTTCCCCCCCGTGGGTAGGGGGTTGTAGAATACTCCCACAGTATTCCCTGCTTGTCGTTAGAGGCGACTAAAAGGGAGGGTTTGAATGGTGTGTGTATGTTCTGTGTAGCTATTTCTCTCTTTGATTCTTTCTATCCCCTCTTTTTCTATTCTTCCTTATCTCTTACTTCCTTCCTTTTCTTTCCTTTCCTCTGGGCTTGTGCCTACACATAAAAAATAAATATAACTGATACAAACTCTGGGACTTAACCGTGTAGGAGGGAAACCTACACAACGGCGGTGCTTGGTGGTGGCAGGACAGGACACCCGCCGTCGTCAGCATACGACTGTCATGAGTCTAGGGTAGGCGACCCGGCCCAGACTCTAGATAATGCTTTGGAAAGTTGTTCGCAGGTAGGTGACCTGGCCCGCGAATCGACTATGGCATCAGGAAAGGGGGCAGTGATGGAGGGATTGCAGAAGGGGACCATTGACTTGGGGGAGTTGAGGATTTCAGATCCAGATTCGCCAATCAAGACCAAGGGGAACCAGAGGATGAGGAGTATCATCACGTCGTCGGAGGAGGACGACTGCCTCATCGTAGAAGAGGATGCRCCAGGAGGAGGCCAGACGCCGCTGACACTGGAGGCAGGAAGACTACCGGAGAAACTCAGGTCAAACCTAAGGGGGATAGAAAAGGAGAGAGCGCGATGCTCGAATATTAAAGGAGAAGTGTCGGGCAAGATCAAGCGATTTGTTAGAGATTTGCTTGTCATTGCCGACGAGATGGAAGAGCGGATGGATAGACAGTCCGGCTCCTTGTTCTCAAGGGCTGAAGCAGTGATCCAGCTAAGAACGGAAGCAAAGATAAGAGACGAAAAGATTCGTCAGATGGAAGGTGAAATCGCTAGGCTCCAGAGGGAGCTTGAAAAGCGAGATGCTGACAAACAAAGCCATGGAGTAAAGGC